CCCTTAGAATTGATACCAAATTTTCTGGAGTATCATATTCTATTATATGCCTTGTATTTCCAAATGAGTTTATCGACTCATGTATTGTATACCTCCCCGTTGCTATTAGCAGTTGTTGCTTAAACTGGTTTAAGGGCTTTCGGGTTTCTTGTATAACATTCTCAAAACTACTCTCTGCTGAATGCTGAGTGTTTTGATCTGAGACCGATTCATTACTTTCTGTCAAGTTATTTATTTGGATTCTTGATAAGGCATCTGCGACAACATTTGTTACTCCTGGCTTATAAATAATTTTTGGTGAATAACTTTCAATAAAAGAATACCATCTCTTCATTTCAATATTTGGGTTTTTTTGAGAAATGGAAAATGATAAAGGTTGATGATCTGTATAGATCTCAATGTTATTAACTCCATATAAATAATTCCGTAAATTTTTAAATGCCCAAACTATGGCTAAAAGTTCCTTTTTATTAGTAGCATATAATTGTTCAGTTTTGGATAAAGTTTTAGAAATAAAAGTAATTGGTTTTCCTTCTTGAGAGAGAACAGCTCCAATTGCTAAATCAGATGCGTCAGTGGTTAAAGTAAATTTTTTATTATAATCCGGTTGTACTAATTCTATTTGTGCGATTAAATTATCTTTGAGCTCGTTAAAAGCTCTTACAGCTGAATCATCCAACTGTATGAAAGTTCTACGTGAAGCTTTTTTAGATACTTTGCCAGTTTCGCCTTCCAAATATTTGGTTAATGGTTTTGCAATTTTGGCGTAATTTTGCACGAATTTTCTGTAATATCCTGTTAGGCCTAGGAAGCTTCTAAGCTCTCGGATATTTTTTGGAATTGGGTATTTTAAAATGGTAGAAATTTTTTCGGGATCGGTTTTGATCACATTGTGAGATACAACGTAACCAAGAAAATTTGTTTCTAATTTAAAGAACTTTGATTTTTCAATAGAAATTTTCATGTTTGCGTTTAGCAAAATTTTAATTATGACAATTAAATCTTTGTAATGTTGTTCAACAGTATTTGAAAAAATAATAATGTCATCCATATAGACATGACAAATTTTACCAACTTCATCTCTTAATATATCATCCATTGCTCTTTGGAAAATTCTGGGAGCGTTAGTTAACCCGAATGGCAATCGAAGGAATTCGTATTTACCATTATTTATTGAAAAAGAGGTTTTTTTAATGTCTGTTTCTTTCATTAGAATCTGATGAAATCCAGATTCTAAATCAATTGTTGAAAAGTATTTTGCCTTTCCTAGGTTTGACAAAATTACTGAAGGATCCTGCATTGGGTATCTGTCAGGTATTGTATTTTCGTTTAATTTTTTAAAGTCAATTACGAGACGGAGTTTTGCAGTTCCATCTTCGTTGAAGCCCTTTTTTGGTACTACTAATACAGGGGAATTATAAGGACTCCTACTTGGTCTTATAATTTCTTCGTTTAACATTCGGTTTATTTCCGAATTTACAAAATCTGATGCTGACAAAGCATAAGGATATTGTTTACTATATATGGGTCTATCATTTTCTGTATTTATTTCACCTCGAATATCAGTTCTAAATGGAATCTGCATATTTATTTTCGAGTGTTCTTTGTTGATAATGTTTTGAATCTCATTCTCCAAATCATTTAATTGATTGGAAGATGATATTTTTATATTGTTAATTAAATCTTTGTCGGATACTTCTACGACGGCGTGTTCAGGATTTTTGTATCCCAAACTGTTTTCACTTTGATTGCCCACTTCAGAATCGGATCTGACTTGAGTCTCTTTATCAAAATATTTTTTTATGATAAATTCTCTTAACGGAAGAATGGTATTTTCTTCAGATAAAGAATGTTGATTTAAAAAGTTCCCATTATCGTAATTCAATTTTTCTTCTTTTCCATTATATTTTAGTATTCCCTTAGCTGTATCGATTACAGCTCCAATTTTCTTTAATAGATTATATCCTATTAATAAATCTGATTCTAGTCCCTCTATTTCATAAAACGTGTATCGCATATTAAATATAGTTATCATATGATAATATTTAATTATTGAATATCCATTCACGGTGGACACCCTTTTATAAATTGGAAGTTCATTCTTATTTTTATATATTCCTGTCTTTATATAACAAGAAGTTGCCCCCGTGTCAATTAATATTTTTAATTTTTTATTAATTGTTTTATCTGTACGAATTAAGTAGGGTAAGCCTACTCCTGAGCTTCGCCTAAAAAATGATCTTCCTCAATATTGTTGAGCCTCATTGTTTTGTTAACCGGTTGATTAACAGTTCCTGCGGGCATTCTTTTATTTTGTACTTGTTCCTGCTGATTGTATGGTTTCCTATTTTGATTCCATTTATTATAATTATTATTCTGATAATTATTTCCCTGATTAAAGTTATTATTGGGCCTATTCTGAATCTGCAAGGATTCGTCTATTTCCATAGGCTCTGGCTTATTCTGAGGTTGTCTGTATGAATTCCATTGATTTTGTTGATTATAAAAAGGTCTTCCCTGATTGAAATTATTATTTCGGTTCTGATTAAAATTGTTTTGATTTTGCCAATTTTTATTAAAGTTATTATTTTCCTGATTAAATCTAAAGTTGTTATTGTTCCTTTGATTATTGTTGTAATTGTTTAGTTGTCTTGGTTTGTTGTTTAAAAATATTATACCGTTACCACCTTGGTTGGGCTCGGTAATTTTTTCTGTGTAGTTGTAAACGAATTTGCAAAATGTGCTCTCATGCTATTACTTTGAAGTTCCTGTACTATAGCCATAGCATTAAGTAAATCTTGGGGATTCATAGACAAGATTGTGTCGGAAATTTGACCGTTAAGGCCAGTTATAAAAACTCGAAGGGCGGTTTTTCTATGTTTTTCATTTATTTCTTGAGTAATCGGTTTGTTTCGTCCGTAAGTCATAATTGTTTTGTTAATTAATAAAGTCAATTTACTATTGACTGTTCCATAATAGTCCATTATGGATAATTTACCCTGGCTGAGAACACTTAACTCCTGTTCAATAATATGGATAGGACGTTTGTCACTGTAGACAAAGTCTAGTCTGGCCATTATGGCGTCGAAGTTTAAAACTGTACCGTTATGGGTTAAGGCGTCATTGGCCATCCCTGTTATTTTGTTTCTTAATATTGATAATGCTGAATAAAATTTTTCGCTACCTCTGGTATATTGACCCATAGCTATTTCAGCTGATTCCCTCCAGCTAACATATTTGTCTTCTTCACCCCTATACTCTCTAACAGATTTGATGATCTCATAAGATGTTTCGCAATTAATATTTGGATCAACTATTTCTACTTGATAATCTTCAACTTCCTTTATTTTATTAGCAAGCTGTAATTTTAAACTTGCTATCTCTTCTTTTAATGGATTCAATTCACAATTAACAATGTGTTTAATTAATTCTCCTATATTTATCATTGTGTTATTTGCATTTGTAGGCTCTTGAGGGGTAATTACGTTGTGAGGCCTTTTATTACTTGGACCAGCTTGTTCTGGATTCATTTTTAAAATATTTTCAAAATCTTTAATTAACTCTTCCACTTTTGTATTCTTATATTTCTTATAATTTTTCTTTATTAATATATAAAAAAAAAAAATATTCTCGCTCACGACTTGTCCTTCTTCTAGCCGATGATCCTTGTTGGGGTCTTCTATTAGTCTTCCTTCTAAATTAATTTGTCTTCCTTTTTTATTTGGCGAGGGATTGCCCTACAGCCTGGTATTTTTTGTTTTTTCTTTTTGATGATTTTTTGTAGATTTTTGTATTCAACTTATTAGTTGAATTTTTTTATTTTGTAGATTTTCCTTTTGTATAATTAATTGTTCACTTTTTTGAATTGTTTGCTGATGTTGGTTCTTTTTTATTTTATTGTTCACTTTTGTAAATTTTTGGTTGGTAATTTTATTTTTATTAATTTTATAAATTTATGTGTCCGGAGCAGTAAAAAATTTTTTTGACAAGCACTATTTTTTTGGTTTTCGTTGGTTGTTTTGATTTAAGGAGGATTATTACATTTACTGATTTCCTGCCCTATTTTTTATAACACAACTTTTTTTTATTTTCAGCGGGTTGTATCTGGGTTTTTTTGGCCGCACTAAATTCCTTTTTCACATAAAAACTTTTTTGAACTTTTTTTAATTTTTATGCCTTGCTTTAGAATATGTTTTAACTATGCGGCCCCACGTTGGGCGCCAATTAACTTTCTCCTTAGTGATTCGGTTAAAAAAATTTATTTTTATTTAATTAACTTCACTTATCACTAACATTTCATAGGTTGCACTTAAAATAGTTCACTGCTCCGATCTTATACTTAATTCACTTATATTGGTCTTTTTCTTTCGGATATCAAAAACGGACTGCCGCACTTGGGCTGAAAGATTAATAATCAAACCTCGGCTTAAGAGATTTTATCTTCAAAAATTGATTAAGAGATTGACTCAAGAGAGTCGGAAAAATAGGATGATGAAATTTGGCAATTAAATCTGAAATCGAGATTCTGCCGGAAATCGGTGTTTACATTATCGAGCTTCGAGGGTCGCTTTGGGTCTCCGATGTTTAGAATATCGGCTGAGGATGTTTACAGAATCCGTTTAATGCGGAGTGTGAAATGATATGGGTGGGAACCAGTCGAAGGCGTAGTTGAATGAAATAGCTGACTACGGGTTTATCTTGGAGTCAAATCTGAATTATTTGGAAATTGGGCTGGGCTCAAAGTTGTTTATAAATCGGGTAAGTGGCCCTAAGTAATGTGCTATATAACTTGCATGTATTGCGTAGATTGATGTTAGGATTCTTACTACAACATTTTTGAATTTTTTCATTTAGTTACTAATTTAACACAAAATTGTAACTTGTTAAATATTCTTATGAAGCAATATAGGATTTATTAGGAAAAACCATTATACTCTGGGAAATATTACCAATCCTCTGTCTATCTAGAAGAAATATTTAATATGACTGCAAATTTCTGGTTTGCGTTTTTTTAAATTTCTTATATTTAGCAAAAATTTGTTTTAAAAAAACATTTTATACATCTTGTATTACTTTTACCTCGCATTACCACAACATTTAAAATATTAAATGCAGTATAATGCTTATATAGGGTTAATGGTGTGTGTATTTTTATCAGCTCAATTTCCTGTGGGGCTCTCGAACTTCTCCGGATCGATTCCGGCCTTCTTCATTTCCACGGCAATGGAGAACAAATAGTCATAGCATTCTGACCTGTTTTTTTTTTGGGAATATAGATGTAAAGGTTTAGGGTCAAAGGTACTTTGTATATGAAGTTAGTGAAACCCACATGGTTTTGGCGCTCTCCCAGTTCTTTCCCCAAACGTAAACGCCATGTCGTCGGACCAGAATGGCACTGCAACCGGGATGCTCCATCATGGCGGCGTACATGCTATCGGCCAGGTCACGTTCGAAGGGAGTGTTCTCGATGATTGGGACGACCAGTTCCTCGTCGTAGCGCAGATATCGCTTATCCGCCTCGTCGTACACGCCCTTGATCATCTCCAAGTGGGTGCAACGGAAGGTTTTTCCTGGCCACAGTAGCGTCGCCATAACGGCATGCTGAGAGTGGGTATGGATTACGGCTCCCGCCTGGCGATGTTGATAGGCCAACATGAAGAGCGGCGTGCACTGGCTCTTCTTCAGGCCTCTGATCTCCGGCGGAAGCTGCAGATCTTTTCCGGTTATGTCCTGCACGAACAGATCTTCCGGCTGCATGCGCTCCTTCTGGACGCCCGATGGTGCTATGTAGATCTCATCGCTGATAGGAAAGGGTAAAGGGGTAAATAGACCGTTGTTTTGTCTAACCTGAGATTACCCGAAAAAAAACTTACTTGTGTTTGATGCTCATGCCACCTCCTGTGCCGGTTACCCATCCTAGGTGATAGAATTGCCTGCAAAGCGATGGAATCAGGTGCCGCGGATGCTCCGCTGGCAGATCTTTGAAGATCGAGAGGGCCATCGTGACAACGTGTCTTTTTCAGCTTTAATCTTCCCTGTAAAGCACAGATAATCCAGATAAGGGAATCTTCCGAAGCGACGAATCACGAATGTAAACAATGCTTCAATCGATAGTCGGGGCTATCAACAGCAGTTTGCAATCGAATATGACTGTTATGACAGCGTTGCCAGCAGGCTTTACTTTTTTAAATGTTTTAAACGTTTTCAAATTAAAAAATCGTACTTTTATTTTTGTTTTTTGGAATATATAAGAACATTTTGTAGGATTTCAAAGCAATAAAGAAATCATCCTCACGAGTTTAGTTTCATAAAAATCTGATTATATACCAATAAATAGAAATGCGTGTAAACTATAAATTAACGTAATCCGATATTTTTGCAGACCCTTCGCATGATGAAGTCAGAGATCGGCAAGGCGTCGCATCGCCTTCAGCTCTTTACGTCGGAGATCATGCACTTCATCCACCAGATGCAGTACTATGTGCTGTTCGAGGTGATCGAGTGCAACTGGGTGGAGCTGCAGAAGAAGATGCAGCAGGCGACCACCCTGGACGACATCTTGGATGCCCACGAGAAGTTCCTGCGAACGATCACACTGGGCTGTTTTATCAACACGATGTCGGACACGGAGCAGCATCTGGAGACGGTGTACATGAACATTATCGAGCTGGAGAAATGGCAGTCGCTCTTCTACAAGGACTGCTTCAAGGAGCTGGAGGCCCGCCAGGACCTGGTCAAAATGGTGGAGAAATCGGAGCTGGAGGGAAGCTATGGCTTGACCACCGAGCACATCTTACAGCGCGACCATGAGAGCAAGATCTTTGCCGAAAAGGTGGAGACCGCCAGTCGGGGACTGGAAGTTATAGCATCCGCCTATGAAAAGGCCGTCAGCGGTTTCCTATTGAACCTCAACTCCAGCCAAGATCCCAATCTCCAGCTTTTTGGCACGCGGCTGGACTTTAACGAGTACTACAAGAAGAGGGACACCAATCTAAGCAAGCCACTGACCTTCGAGCACATGCGGATGAGCAATGTGTTCAGCTTGAACAACAGGAATTGTCCAAACAGTCGGTTCGTAATCCATTCTCCAGCCACCAAGGAATAGCAGCGTCCCGCGTCTCTGCAATCACATCATCTCAGTGCCAATGTACGAATCTTTAGGCCTCACCATTGCATCCAGTCCAACTGCTGCTAAATATTTGAGATATCACGATACCATTGAAGTTAAGCAATGGCACAAGGCGAACAAAAAGCAATCAAGCAAACTAATCCAACTAGTAGTAACTAAGCTATTTTTGCACTCACATATATATCTCAAGCATTTCCGTCAATCGACTGGCTGCAAGCCATCAACTTAAGATATCTCGAATATTTATCTCTCATTACATTTTTTTGAGTAGTTGTAATCGAAAAGTATTAAACGGAGATTCGTTTGTCGAAAGGCGCACATTGTTTTTAAAAATCCCCTAATTTTGTACATCGAACGCTTTCGTTGCGCACAGAATGCGGTGGCACAACTAAAGCTTAGTTAAAAGTTAAAACTCATTTCCCTAAGTGCGTTTGTCAATTGCCCTATGGTAATTAAAATGTAAAAAATAAGAGAATGTTACGTATTTTAAATGGAAAAGTTAGAGAACGTTTTAAAATGTTAATGTTTTGAACAGTTTTAAACCGTAATGCGAGCTCGAAATAAACTCTTAATTGCATTGAAGTTTTCATTAAATACATTTGCGTGTCGTTCATTTTTCTGGAGCAGTGGACTTTGGGTGAATTTTATTTTAATTTATTATTAATTATTCTATCTTCTTCTTGCTCTGTTCCGAACTTGTTGCTCTCTTTCGAATTCAAATTTGATTGACCTGCTGGTTATCGATAGCTCGCGGAACGTCGCTTAAATCGATATATCAGACAGTGGCCTTGTTTTGCGGGATTTTCTCGGCCACCGCCATCTGGCCACACCACATCGATGTTTCCTTTTTGCAGCAACTTTTTGCAGAAAAAAAAAGAAAACAAATCGGAAAAAGACGGAAGTGAGTGCTTTCTGCTGCCGCCGGTGATGTGCTGAAATCGCGTCTCCAAAATAGTTAAAGCTTAAAAGTGAATACCGATTGCAAACCGAAGAAATCGTGAAAAAAACAAAGAGCAAACATGGCACTGAAGAAAGTGAAGGGTAACTTTTTCGAGCGTATGTTTGATAAAAACCTCACCGATTTGGTGCGCGGCATTAGGAACAACAAGGATAATGAGGTAAGCGTGTCCCTTCGAACAGCCCTTCCCCTTTACGCCCCCCTCTCCCGGTATACGCCCCCCACAGCCACGCCCCCGTCGCCCAGCTGTGCGTCCAATTAGAACTCGCTAATTGGCTGACAAATTTCGTTTGCATTAAGGGAATCTTATTAGAGTTTTGTATGCATGTGTGAGTTGTGTGTGTGGGTGAAAGTAGCTGTGCACGTGTGTGTGTGCTTCGGCATCTGCCAACAATGCAAAAGGAAAAGCAGGAAAAGCTGGGAAAAGAGCCACAAAACTGAACGCAACCTCCACCTCATTCATTTAATTAGCGGCAAGTGCTTTTATCAAATATTTACCCATGTGAATTTCCCCGCCGATTGCCTTTTTTGGTCCTTATCAGATGTTTTTCCGGCAGGATCAACTATCGGTACTCCCTATATATGCAAACACAGAGAGAAAAATATGCATACAATTTATCTCATTGTGATGATTTAATACATATGTATGTATTAAGTTCGAATTGATATGCAAGGAATGGCAAAACGATATTTAAAAATGTTATTTAAATATTTATATATGAAAATAATATTAAGAAATTGGTATTTATACATTGAGATATTATTTAAAAGGCTGCTTTGACTCTATATAAGTTGTTTTTTTCCTGTGTTCCCTTCTAAGCTCTGATTTACAGCTGTAGTTAAATTAATAGCAGCACTTCTATGCGACCATCAATATCCATTCCATTTAATGCAGTGTAATAAAATACCCCAAATGGTTTTTATTTTGTTGTATTATGTTGCTTAATGATTAATATTTATTACTCATCAGTTTCTTATAAGTATATTTAACGGTGTCGGAAATGTGCGGGGCAAAACACTTTGTGGCTCACTTCATCTTTATGTTTAAGAATGTCATATTTGAAGGATTTACATTTTTGGGTTACTACATAAACAGAAATTTAATAAATAAAATTAGGCAATAAATTAAAAATTTGCAATAATCAATATTACTATAATTTTGATTGCAACTGTATGTTTTAGAATTTGTGTTTACTTGATTTTGCCTGTGTTGCTGTGTGCATGTGGGGGGTATGGAACTGATAGCCCCTAGACGATTCTCAGATATGTATGTTTTTTGTTTTATGATTTGCTCCCATTGCACATTGCGAGTGCCATATCACCGACCAGTATATATGTACATATGTATGCACAGATTGATGACATTAACTTTTTCCGCAGGCCAAATACATATCGACGTGCATCGAGGAGATCAAACAGGAGCTGAGACAGGACAATATCAGTGTCAAGTGCAATGCGGTGGCCAAGCTGACCTACGTAAGTTACCCCTGCCACCCAAAGCCCAATGTTTCTCACCAACCACTCACATTTAAACCCACTCACTTGATGTCCTTGAGGCCAGGGACCAAAAACTATTAATTTGAGGTATATTTTTTCCTTTTCTTTAAATTATTGTATTTATTAGTACAGCAGAGGCTTTTATAATGGTCGCTTTTTAAATTTCGTGGAAACATTTAGACCTTTTTAACGATTTAAAGTACAAATAATTAATAAACTAATTAAGAATATCAGAATTTCTCTAAAAATCAATTTGCCACCTAACAACATAAGGATGATTTTTATTGGGCTTAGCTTTAGATTTCGAAATGCAGATGCATCGTGCATGCCTTAGAATCTAGTTGCAACCATTCAAAGTTGGCGAAGTGCCTAGCTGTACTTGATGCAAATTTCCTGAGGTATGGGGTCCTTGTAGGCAAGTGTGACAATAAGGACAAAAACAGCAACAGCCATAAAAATAACAACTGAATCGGCGGAAACAAGGGAAGCAACAACAAAGCCCACACCCACCGCCCACACAGTGGCCAACTAACAAGCGTTTTGAAAGATGCCATCAACAGCATGTAGCTCTTACACTTGTGGTGAAATTAATAGCATTATAGTTAGAAAAATATTTATACTTCGTAGAAAAGTTTTGATTATTGATTTTTTCAGTAAAATATAATTGGTTTTTTTGTCAACGAATTTAATGGACATATTTTCATTGACATTTGTCTGAATTTTCTGTTTTTGAGCAATATTCAATTTTTTACCTAAGCTTCCCCCTTAACTATTTTCTTGCCCTCAGGCGTAAGCAAGGGAAACGAGATGCAGCGAAAAAGATTTCAATGCTAACGAGTCCTTGGGCCTATCCTGCACACATATTTATTAAGCACACCCACGGAGACCTGCTTCCACTTTACGCCCCATTCGTTTGCACAAAATCAGCTGAAAATGTTAATAATTATTGATTTGATTTCGATTTCGACAGATACAAATGTTGGGCTACGACATCTCATGGGCAGGCTTCAACATCATCGAGGTGATGAGCTCATCCAGATTCACCTGCAAGAGAATTGGCTACCTGGCGGCCAGTCAATGTTTTCATCCAGATAGCGAGGTAAACCATAATCTAAAGGAACACGAAAAGAGCCAGAAATGGTTAATTAATCTATTTTATATCATGTAAATATATCTTTAAATCGTTAAATGAACTTAAAGATATATTTTTCTGTTTCCGAATAGATATTTAGATTATTGGTATAAATTATTTAATCATCTTTTTTTGTAATACTGCAGCTGCTCATGCTGACCACGAACATGATACGCAAGGATCTCAACTCACAGAACCAATATGATGCGGGTGTGGCGTTAAGTGGATTAAGCTGCTTCATATCACCCGATCTGTCCCGCGATTTGGCCAATGATATTATGACACTGGTAGGAAGCTTTCATATTATTTTGTAATCAAACTACATTACTATCTAAACCACTAGATGAGCTCAACAAAACCCTATCTGCGCATGAAAGCCGTCCTTATGATGTATAAAGTTTTTTTACGCTACCCCGAAGCATTGAGACCTGCATTTCCCAAACTTAAGGAAAAACTGGAGGACCCAGATCCAGGTTCAATCGAAAAAAAAAAAATTTTCAGCAGCTGTTAACGTGAAACTTTACTTCATACATTTCTGTTTTGTTTTCTTCTAGGTGTTCAATCAGCTGCCGTGAATGTTATTTGTGAATTAGCGCGTAAGAATCCAAAAAACTACCTGCCTTTGGCGCCGATCTTCTTCAAGCTAATGACTACATCGACCAACAATTGGATGCTGATCAAGATCATCAAGCTGGTGAGTGCTGCTCCACTTCACTGGCCACCAAAGATTCACAATGATTACTTTACTCTTAAGTTCTGTTTTAAGTATGTATATTTTCGTTTTCGTTTGTTTACGGACAAACACCGATTTCGTTTGCTGTATATGTATATATACGTATACTTTTATATACGACAATGAATTTTTGTCTAACAAAAAGTTAATTAACACTACAACTACTCCTCCCCCTCTCCTCCCTCTGCTCCCGCTCCAAACAAACAAACTAAAAAAAAATATATAAAATGAAATACAAACCACTCCAAAAAAAACAAACAAATACTAATGAAAAACGAATGAAATGCCAAATAAAAATCGAATGAATTTTAGTTCGCGAGCCTCACGACAATTGAACCGGCGCTGGGACGCAAATTGACTCAGCCCCTAATTGAAATTATTTCCAGGTTTTTATCGGCGCGCTTTTCTTTAATCAGACCAACGACAAATCCAATCCAAACTTATTTAAAACCAGCACGCGCTTTGATTTACTCTAAAGCATTTTACTATTTAAAAATTTAGTTATTGATCAACCCTTATCGTTTCTTTGGTATATTTATGTTGGTCTCCTCATTGTTTTAAATGGAAGCAACACAGATGTTGTATACTTTAGTAATTATTTCCTTGTTTTAATTGATTTATTCAAGGCGAAGCTGTATGAGGTGAAGTACTCCCAATAATACTTCACCTTTTACAGTTTTTGCCAGGATCAACATCACATTTACCACACCTTACACTTTAACACACCCGAAATACATGAGCGTCGTAATTGATTATGATTATTGCATTGAAATCATCAAAATTGACTTTGCAATTTAATTGATACACAACTTTTGTACACCCATTTTAATGCACATGTTCCATATCATTGCAAATGAATAAAGCTTCAAGATTAATTAAAATGCAAGTCTTCAGGATTATTAAAGATTGATGATACTACTTTATAAATTAAACCTTTTCAAAGAAATAATCTTAAGCATACAAAAAGTGAAAAGCAAACTTAAAAATCTATAATATATATGAAAAAATTGTTGTCTATAAGCTTTTATTCATTAGCCTTACTTCACCACCTCAATCCACCACGTCGTACTTTTTTGGCTTTATTGTGTTAAAAAACTGCTTCATTCGCTTGATTTAATAACAGAAAACTGAAACCCATAAAAAATGACTACCAATTTAATTGTAAAACTATTATTTCACTAGAAAAGAAAAAAACTAAAGAAAGCAAACACCCAAGACCATGAGATACTTCAAATATATATACATATCATCATGAGATCCGATCAGGAAGGAGAAG